CATATATCTCTCTTTTATATATGGATTGGCTTGCAATCACGAGGTTTTGAAATTCCAAGAGTTGCCAAAAAGGTAAATGCAAAAACAGCCAATTAATTCTTTGTTTATTGTACTAGGTTTTTTTTTTTTTTTTTTTTGCCCCAGCTTCTTTTTCCCTCTCCCTAAAGTATAGTAGCCAGTTAATTCTTTACTATGTATAATTGATTTATTAGTTTTTTTAGGCTTCTTTTTCTCTCCCTAAATATATAGCCAGTTAATTCTTTATCTATGTATAATTGATTATTAGTTTTTTAGGATATGCATGAGTTCATAATAATTTCGGAATTATATTTATAAATGTAATATATTCTTTATTTATTTCAATTTAGTTTTTTTTTATCTAATGTTCTAATGTTTGATTATCTAAATTTGTATAATTATATAATATATAATCCAATTCTATATATTATTGCTCAAAATAAAGTGTAATAGCTTGATATATATTAAAAGTTTTTACACTTTTAATCTTCTATTGTTCATATAAAAAAAAATGATATATAATAAGAAAATAAAATGACCGCGCAATGCACGAGCCTTCGCCTAGTTTATTAAATAACATATGAATTTAAATGAAGATTGACTTAGTAAAAGTAATGAATACAAGATAAGCATAATAAAGGTTATAATAGACAATTTAAAGATTAATTATAATATAAAAAAATTATGTAAACTATATTTTGGAACAGATAAAAATAAATAAAAAATGGAATATCTCTTCAGGACGAAGGGGAGTAAGACTTAATGAATTAAATAACAAAAATATTATTTACTTTCTGCTCAAAGTGATTATGCTTATTTTTTGAAACTTTTAGTTTAATTTACTTCATGTGATGTTGATGTTAGAAAGATAACAATTAGTCAAGTGAGTTTTTGCGATGCATTCAACAAAAATCATATTTTTCAAATACAATTAAGTGCATAAGTCTAACAAATTAATAAGATTGACTTTTAGTTTAATACATTGTTTCATCTTGAACTTTGCATTGCATCGCAATTTCGCTCCAGTGTGAATTTAGAATTTCTATTGCAATAGCATCTTAAATTGCAATTAGGGTTAAATTGCAAATAAAAATAAATTATTTTGGATTATATAAAAGCGAGAGCTTAGATTAATAGTAAAGAAAATTTCTATTATTTTTTTATATTTTTAAATTATTTCTTTAATTAACAATCAGTAACGAATAAAAATGCATTATTTGATATATAGATATATCCTTTTTAGAAAAAAAAAATTAGAGTAGTTTGTAAATAATAAACTAATTATTATCATTATTGTTTGAATTTTAATTATTATTGTTTTTTAGCTTTTAATATAAACTTTGAAATAATGATAAAATCTACAAAAAAAGAAAAAAAAAACTTGAAAAAATTGAACTACAATGAAATTATTTGACTCCTAAACTATTAGAAATTGTTAATGATTTTTTCTTATTAAAAATAGAATATAAGACATAATTATAATCAATTATTATAATTTGTAATTGTAGAATGAAAAAAAAATATTTGTTTAAGACAATAATTAAATTTAATAAATTTACGTCAGTGAGAAAGTTTAAATGAAGTTAATTCAAGTTCAAGAGTGGATCTTTTTTTTATATGCAATTAAAGTTCCAATTGCAATTTAGAGTGCTTTTAACTGTTTTTTCGTTAAAAATTATGGTACTATAATTTAATTGAATTTTTAATTCTGTGACAAAAGCCGTGTCTATCACTAATTGAATGTGTGAATTTATAATTATATTATTAAATTGATTATTCTCGATGTGACCAACACATGGGCCACAATTTTAGACGGCAACTTGATGGCTTTCACGACTGTGTTGTCATATTTAATATATTATATTCTTAAATCTGGTAACTCATTTTCTGCTCTCTCTCTCTCTCTCTTTACAAGAACAAGACTGAATTCATATTTATATTGAGTTTCCATTTCACAAGCTAATTTGAACAGCATATTGCAGAAAATTGGTTAAGAAACTGAAACCAAATTTGTAAAAGTTGATAATACAAAACTTGACAGAAGAATCACAGAAATATAGAAAACCTGGTACAATTACAAATGATAAAACATCACACAACCTAAAAAATGACTCAAACAACTCAATACACAGTGAAAGCTGATCCATATCCTGAGATTAAGCCTGCAAATCAGTTGGCTGTAATCCAGCGATTCGGATAACCCGTTGAGTACTATGCAGAAAAAAATCAGTAACAGCACTAACCCATCCATTATCAGAATTGGGAATTCTTTCAACAACATCAGTAAAACTTCCATCACTTATCAATTCCTTCACATTATCAAGTTTGTTACTTACCCTAATTCCAACTCTGGAACAAGAGCAACAATTCTTGGGACACATAAATCTAATACATTTATTTCGAATTTCTTCTTCTGCGTCTAAAATAATTTGAACTGCCTCAAATTGAAAAACGTCAACTCTGCTGAACCAATCATTTACTTGAAAGATCTTTTGCATTCGCCGTCTGTCTTCTCGTCTGATCCTTGATTGAATGTGTTCCACCAAATCTAGAAGACGAAGGATTTCATTTCTCAATGCCCCGAGATTGTCTTCTAATTCACAAAAGTAATCTCCTCGAGTGCAAAGAAAACCAAAGGTTAGTTTTACTGCCTCGATAGTTGTTGGTAAAGCTTCTTTTGCTGCAGCAATTTCCATGGCCATGGTTTCAAGCTAGCTGCAGAGAAGTTAAATCAGTGAAGAAGGGTATCTGGATCTGGTTTTAGTTGTCACAGAAATGGTGAAGGATTAAAGGAGGCAGACGACCTTGACTTTTGAGGTTGAGAGAGCAAGTTCTTTTTCATTTTCTCTCTCTTGGGAATTTCCTTTTTCCTTCGTGGAACGAGGAGAGGCGAGTACTTTACAGAAAAAAAAAAAAAAGTAAATTTTTAGAAATACCATCCATCAAAATATAGAAAAACAAATAAAAAAGCCTAAAAAGTTTATTAAAAGAAAAGAATGCTTAAAATTTTTATTTGTCTCAATTGTTTTTTAATAATTTTTTCGAATAAGGTTGTAAAGAGGAAGCCGAGCTAAAATCTGTTGGACTTAAAAACTCGCTCAATAGAAGAAAAGTTGCATTAATTTTAATATGTTATTAATGATTTTTTTAAAACCACTAACTATGGTATTAATAATTTGGATGTGATATCAATTAATGCTCACTGAAAGGTATTAAAAGGCTTATTAAAAGGTTTATTAACATTAGGAATAGTCAGTTCACTAAACTATGATATCAATTCAATGAATCAGTGGTCTAATCAATATTTAATGCTCAGAACAATATGGTGAAACTGTATACATTAATTTGGTTTAATTTCAAACTTAATAGAATAAAATCAATTTTTTTCAATTTAATTTGTTTTTTATTGTATATAAAATTAAAAAAAAAAACTAAAAATGCAAAATAAACTAACTTAACCTAACCTAAAAATTAATGCAGAATCGAACCAATTGGTTTAATTTTAATTTTATTTTTTATGTGAAAAATTAGTTTTACTTATTGAGTTTTATTTAACTAACCAATTTAATATTCAACTCTCTTGATAATTCAAGGCCAATTCGGTTTCTAAATTTTAGGAGAAAAATCGATTTAGAACCAAAATTTACAAATTGACTCTAATCCGAATCCTTTCAAATCTTGTATGCAAGATTCAACATTCAGGCGAATTTATAAAAACATATAACCTATGAAGACTAGGCTTGACCAATGGTGGTACAGCTGCTTCTTGTAAAGCCATGGCTTCAAACTAGTTGCAGAAAAGTTGAATAAATGAACATTTCTTTTTGCGTTTTTACCCAATTTCCTGCAAATAACGTGCGGCATCATAGTTTATAATTATTATTAAGTTAAAAAGAAAAAATAATGATTAACGGTCATAAACTAAAGAAAAGAATAGGAAAATAATTTGGGAATATCCGTCACATTATACTTATTATTTTGATTCCTTTATATTAATTTATATTCCTTTACGTTAATTTCTATTTTTAATTTTTGAATAATAACACACTTTTGTATTATGTATTTTTAAATACTAATGCTATTATAAGTTCTCCTATTCTATAACAAAAAAATTTTTATATTCTTATTGTTGAGTGTATTTTTTTTATATGTGCAAGTTGAGTTAATGAATATTGTTATTCTAATCCTTGCAATTTCTTGGATGATGTCGGAGAAGTCCAATCCTTTTTTTTTTTTTTTTTTTTTTTTTTTTTTTTTTTATATGTGAGAGGTGATGTTACGATGAATATTGGTTTTATGTTTTTCCTAATCCTTGCAATCGTGTAGTATGTCGGAAGATTATGTTCCCAATTTCCTTTTTTTTTTTTTTATTTTTTTTTTTTTTCAAAAAATGTTCGGGCAAAGTTCTAATCTGTTCATCCATTTAAGGCATAAATGTAACTTGCCAGCATTGATTGCCCCCTATCATAATTTTGTAAAGGCAAAAAAAAGATTGACTAATTTGGTGTTATTTTTTTTTTTTTTTTTTTTTTTTTTTCAAAAATGTCGGCAAAGTCTAATCTGTTCATCCAATTAGGCAATAAATGTACTTGCCAGCATTGGATTGCCCCTATCATAATTTTGTAAAGGCAAAAAAAAGATGACTAATTTGGTGTTAATTCAAACTCAGCAAGTGCAAAAAGTGCTTAAAAAAAGAATTCATAAATCACGCAATTTCAGGTAAAATACAAATGCGCAATCTGTTGGAGACCAAACCAACCATTATCCAGAACACCAAGAAAGGAATTCCCATATTGCAAGTCCATAGCCAGAGTTTCATCTTATGCAAGCTCATCGACATTACAGCATTCGACGTATCCCATTAAAGTAAATATGAATTTTCATAGAAGAAATGATGCCCCTTCTTTTTCTCAAAAAATCGATTTCCAAATCCATTTTGCCTGCTCCACATAATAGCATCACAACAAGGAAAGAAAAGACCATATAACTCAACAAAATTCTTGCTCAATAAAAATCAAGAAGTTTCACATTCACGACAAGATATATATAAAAGTTATGGTCTCTGTGAAAACTAATGGTTTGATCTTGCTGACTTGTGAGTTATAACTAATGTAAGATTCCTTCAACCAATCTAAGCTTAAAGAAGAAAAAGAACAGGAAAAATGATGTTTCTTTTTTCTCATTTCTTCATTTCTTTCTTTTAGAAGGCGGCTGTGTTTCTTCCTCTCCATCATCATCATCTTCCTCATCATCATTCTCTTCCTCGTCATCATCATCATCTTCGTCGTCGTCGTCGTCATCATCAGTGTCTTCATTGTCATCATCGTCGCTGCTTTCTCCATCAAAATTAGCTGCATCAGACTCCTCTTCATCATCATCAGCATCATCACTCCCTTCCTCTCCAGTCGAGTCATCATCATCATCCTGATCACCAAGCTCAGCATCACCACCATCACTACCGTCCTCATCAGTTTCATCAGCATCCTTACTTTCAGCAGAAGGTTTTTCCAATCTATTTAGTTCTGAGAGAGGAAAACTGCAAACCATTTCAACTAGCTGATCACTTTTTTAACCCACCCCCCCCAGTAGTAAATGCTTAGTACTGATTTCAAAACAAAAGGAAGAAATTCATCTCTACCTCTTATCAATTGCAGTCAAAACTGGTACCATGTGAATATAATCTGGTTGAGATCTCATCTAAAAGAAAAATATAAAAATAAGTAATGACACATTAAGCATGTAAGACTAGGTAAAAAGACCAAATACTGATTCCTACAAATATCTCAAGAGGCTCAGATCTTCAAACATTTATTAAAAACAATCTTTGGAAAAAAAAAAAAAAATGCCCCAGTACGTGAGACGTTCCACATTGTAGTCCCAACAATCAACAGCATTCCTCTTGCATAGCAAGAAGGTAGTTCCCATGATTTGAATCCATGAACTTGAAGTATAAGAGAGCACTTTTACCATCATATCACATCTCACCATCATTTCATAGCAAAATCTATTGCAACTAAAATAAATAAAGATAACACACAAATTGCAAACAAAAAGGAAATTGAGAAGTATTAAAAATGTCAAATAAAGAATTACTAAGAAACATGCCAATAAAAATATGGGTAAACCAAATCTGAAAAACCGGGTTGCACTTCAAAAATACATTTAATAAACGGAAACCAAGCTCATTACAGAGTCTGCAAAGGAAATTGTATGTATATACATGAACTGAAACTTACATTATAAAGTATGTGAACTACTATCATGCAAAAGTACAAACTGATCTAAAGAACATTAGTAAAGACCACTTAAAATCATTCATTAAGTTTGTCAATCAAAAAGTCTGAAATTTATTCAACTGCCCGGTTTTATCCGAAGATCAGTGTTCCTTTGGTTATAGAAAACAACCTAAGAGGTTAAGGAGACAAGCCAATTAGTTCTAACATCTTTCCAAAGCCAAATAACAAAGGAAGTTGTCATAAAACAACATTATGAGTTTAGCTTCAGTTTCCTCTGCTTCTCAAGTAGACGAAATATAAGGGAAACCATCATCTTGGTTCCAACAATTTCATCAAAATTGAATAATTTAGGTTAGGAAACTAACAAATACAGAGGTAAAATAGAAAATATCCAAGAAGGTCAATTATAACAGATACAACCAAATCAAACAGCCCATTTGTGTAATTAAATCCACAAAATAAAAACACAGATCACAATCTTAAATCTCCCAACAAGTCCAGCAGCACTTGAAAGAAGCAATGATTATAAGATTGCAACACGAAACAAGCCCCTTCTTTGGAAAGATGGCTGCTACTTCACAAAAACAAATCCCTAATCTTAAATTCCATTAGCAGAAGCAACCAAGTAAAGTAGTAATCACAAAATTCTTCCAACACAGAAATGAAATCCTTATGTACGAAGCAGAGTAAGTACCAAAGAACACATAGTTACCATCAAAGAAAACATCTTTAAAATCAAATAAGAGCTGCATAACAACTTCTAATATTGCAATAAAAAAAAAAATAGAGACTATCAATTAGAGTGACGGCAATGTACCATAATGAGAAGCAAAAGCAGAGATTTTTGGGCAAGCAGAGCAGTCTCCAGTACCAAAGATTGCATCACCGAGCATAGAATCCTCTCAGAATCCAGAGCACTATTATTATGTGAAAGAGTATCCATAACAGTGTATTGGTCAATATATGAATTTTCGTAAAATACCCAGAAGGCAAAGAGACAGAGAGATAAAGAAGACACTGAGAAATAGGGAGAGCAAGAGATTCTGCCTTTTTTTTCTTCAATCTCCGAGTGAGATGAGGGTTTTGCCGGGGATATAAGAAGGTCAGAAAAGAAGAAGGTAAAATTATTAGGGTTTTGACTATTTTTATGGAATCTTTCTTTCAGTGGGTCCACGCTGTCCACTATTGTTTGCCACATTAGCATATGGATCCACCTATTATCCCGAGTTTCCAATCCAATCCCTTTGGTCAATCTTCAGATGAGATCCAGTTGTCCACATGTCATGCCACATCATCACTTAGTCTTAAATTGTGGGATAATGTAGAGAAATACTAAGCGACGATTCTAATCTACTGTGTACATGACAATTTCATTTCTCCTTAATATCTGTAAAATTAAATAAAAAGGTTAGAAAAATGATATTGTGATTGCGCATTGCCATTGATCTAAAGAATCAAACAGTAATTAATAAATAAAATATAAATTAAGCTCATTTTATTAATTAACTTATTTTTTTAAATTTATTATTATTCTGTTGTGTTCTTTTATTAATTTTCAACTCTCATGAAAAAGAGAAAGTTCCTGGAATACAGAAATAGTCAACTATCTAGGAAAACAACGACTTTTTGGTTTTTACCTACCTCTCCAATTTATTTTCGGTTTCGAACTGTTGGCATTTTATTTATATAGTCGCATCTTTCGTCAAACTGTTGGCGTTTTATTTATATGTTCGCATTTCTCCTTCTCTAAACATATAATCTTGAAGCTTTCAAGTGTATTTTAGTTTCTTTAATGGAACCATCAGCTCCATTTACTACTTACCATGTCTTCTTGAGTTTTAGAGGTGGAGACACCCGTAAGAACTTCACTGATCATCTCTACACAGCTCTGGTTCAACAAGGAATCCATACATTCCGCGATGATGATGAAATCCAAAGAGGAGAGAATATTGAAATGGAAATTCAAAGAGCAATAAGAGAGTCAAAGCTATCAATAATTGTTCTTTCAAGAGATTATGCTTCTTCAAGATGGTGTCTTGATGAGCTTGCAATGATAATGGAACGCAGAAGAGTTGTTGGGCATGTCGTGGTGCCTGTTTTTTATGATGTGGATCCTAAACAAGTTAGAGACCAGACTGGAAGCTATGGTGAAGCTTTTGCTAGGCATGAGAAGAACTTCAAGAAGGAGGAGATGGAGAATTGGAGGGAAGCATTAAGACAAGCTGCAGATCTTGGAGGGATGGTTTTACAAGATGGGTATGGTATAGTTTTCAACAAAGTTTGTTTTGAATTCTTAGTTATGCTCTAATTAAGATATTAATAGAAATAGTACAGGAAATCTTGTTTTGATTATTTTCATTATATGCTTATTATTGTGCTTGTTTATGATGTTTAGGTATGAGTCTCAATTTATTCAAAACATTGTTAGAGAGGTTGAGAACAAATTGAGTAGAACAGTGCTTAATGTTGATCCCTATTTAGTTGGAATGGATTCTCGCATAGCACGCATTAACCGGTGGTTGCAAGATGTATCAGATGATGTTGAAATAGCTGCAATATATGGGATTGGTGGCATTGGCAAGACAACAATTGCCAAAATAGTTTATAACCTTAACTTCAACAGATTTGAAGCAAGAAGCTTTCTTGCAAATGTCAGAGAAATTTCAGAACAACCTAATGGTCTGGTTCGACTGCAGAAGCAACTTCTTTCTGATATAGTAAAAGGAAAAACAAGCAAAATATATAATGTTGATGAAGGAAGTATCATGATCAGGAATGCTTTGTGTCGCAAAAAAATACTTCTTGTTGTAGATGATGTGGATGATGCAGATCAATTTAATACAGTAATTGGTATGCGAGAATGGTTTTATCCAGGAAGCAAAATTATAATAACAACAAGGCGTGAACGTCTATTAAAGTTTGTTTTGAACTTTGAAGTTGAAGAATTGGATAACAAAGAATCACTTAAGCTTTTCAGTTGGCATGTTTTTGGTCAAGATCAGCCTGCAAATGGTTACCAAAATTATTCTGAAAATGTAGTGAATCATTGCGGTGGACTTCCATTAGCTCTTCGAGTTTTGGGTTCTTCTTTATCTGGGAAAAGTATATCAGTATGGGAAAGTGCATTGCAGAAGTTGGAAAAAATTGCAGACAGTAAAATTCAGCAGATTCTTAGAATAAGCTTTGATTCTCTCCAGGATGATCACGACAAAAGCTTATTTCTCGACATAGCTTGCTTTTTCACTAGAATGGATATAGGCTATGCTGTTAGAATACTAAATGGCTGTGAGTTTCATACTATCGTTGGCATTCAAAATCTCATTAATAGATGTCTGATAACTATTAGTGAAGAAAACAAGTTGATGATGCATCAATTACTTAGAGACATGGGACGGGAAATTGTTCGCCAAGAATCCCCTGATGATCCTGGAAAACGTAGCAGACTTTGGGATCCTGTGGATGCAACTAATGTATTGCTACAAAATACAGTAAGATAATTTTGTCATCTATGCATTTGTGCAAAGCTTATAATTAAGTCTCAATATAGTTTTCCTTTCTGTTTTTGTTACTGCAGGGCACAGAATCAATTAGAGGACTTAGCCTCAACCTACCGGCATTGACAGAAGACAAGCACGCGGGGAAAAATGCTACCACAGATTATGATGATGAAAACACTAAGGGAAAATTGATGCTACTTGATGAAGAAAATTATTCAAAAAGGCGTCGTCTTACCATATTCTCTTGGCAAGCAGAAAGCAATAGAACAATTAGTTCTTTTTCTACTAAGCCGTTCAAGAAAATGGTGAGATTAAAATTGCTCAATCTCAATCATGCACAGCTTAGTAAAGGCTACAAGGAATTTCCTAGAAGTTTAGTATGGTTGTGTTGGCGTGGATTCGCCTCAAACTCTGTACCAGTCGATTTGTGCCTCGACAAGCTGGTTGCTCTTGACATGCGCAATAGCAAACTAAAATATCTTTGGAACGGAATCAAGGTACGACAATGATCTCTGCGTGTGTGTCTCTATTTGAAGCAATGATATTTATTGAAGGAGGCTTACTATTTTTCTTTTTATTTTTTTTAACAGTTTCTAGTAGAGTTGAAAGTACTTAACCTTGGCCATTCTCATGCGCTTGTTAGAACCCCCAACTTTAGAGGACTTCCTAATCTCGAGAAACTGGTGCTTAAAGATTGCATAAGCTTGGTTGATATTGATGAATCCATTGGAAACCTACAGAAGCTTATAATACTGAATTTAAAAGATTGCAAAAGCCTCAAGAAGCTTCCACTAGAAATTACCATTTTGACATTTCTTGAAGAACTTGTCATTTCTGGTTGCTCAAATCTTTTTGAGCTACCAAAGGAGCTTGTGAAGTTGCAATCATTAAAAATACTGCACGCAGACGGCATTGCCATAAATCAAGGAAAATCCAGCAATAAAGATTTGAATGAAAATCTGTCATTGTGGCGTTCAACTTCTTGGTCTTGGCTGTTACAGAAAAGATGGGCAAAATCAAACAATTTTTCACTAGCATTTTTACCAAGATTTTTAATAAGTTTAAGTCTTGCAGAGTGCAGAATATCAGATAATGTTATTCCTGAAGATCTTAACTGCCTACCTTCTTTAGAGTACTTAAACCTAAGTGGAAACCCAATCCATTGCCTTCCAGAGAGCATTAACAGCCTTGTTATGCTTGATTCCCTCGTATTAGACCGATGCACAAGCCTACATTCCCTTCCTGAGCTTCCAACAAGTTTGAACTCCTTGAAGCTAGAAGACTGCACATCATTGGAAAGAATTACAAATCTGCCAAACTTGTTGAAATCATTAAACCTGGAAATTTTTGGTTGCGATAAACTGGTTGAGGTTCAAGGCTTATTCAGATTAGAACCAGTAGGAAACATCAACAAAGAAATACTTAAGGATATGGGGTTAATCGATTTGGAATCTTTGAAAGAAATTGAAGTGGAAATATCAAATGCTTTGGCATGCACAGAAATGAAGACAAATATTCAGGTAAATATCTATTGCTCCAAATGTAATGTAACCAAATGCATTAGTAGTATAAGTACTAATTCTAGCTCCTATTGCATAGGTACTGCATGAATGTGGAATATTCAGTGTATTTCTTCCTGGGAATAGAGTTCCAGAGTGGTTTAACCTAAAAAGTGAGAGTCCTGCAATATCTTTTGATATCCAAGCAGTCTCTGGTCAAAAAATCAAAGGCTTGAGTTTATGTGTAGCATACAGCAATCGTGGAGATGGTGGATATATAGATGACAATTGCATTAAAACCAACAACAAAACCAAAGGTGTAAAATGGACATACAGCCCAAACTTCTATGGGATTCCAAAACCCTATGAAGATATGCTATGGTTAAGCTACTGGACATTAGGAGATCAGCTGGAAGGTGATGATGAAGTACATATTTTAGTGGAAATGGCATCTGGTTTACATGTAAAAGAATGTGGGGTTCGCCTTATATATCAGCGAGAAGAAGAAAATGGTGCCCCCGAAATAGTTCAAAGCAGAAGCAGCTCTCCTTGGTATCTAACCATCAGCGATGCAGATATGTTAGTATATGAGCTGGGAACAAACTCATATTTCCTGTGCCATCATAAATTTCAAACACATCAAGGATCAGGAAGATATGACTGGGATGATATGAGTGGGTATGAGTATTTGTTTGAGGAGAAAAAAGAGGATTACTTCAAAACTGATTATTACACAGATGACGACAAAGACGAAGACTTCGTAACTGACAACTACACAGACTGAGTTTTCTTTACTTGAACCATTCTTGCATCTGCACTTTCATGTCAATGTTAAATTGGGGCAAATGCAGATTTTCATTTAGAGAGGGACCCTTGTTATCACCATCCATTACTTGAATCTTCTCTCTCATTTTTGCCTATATATATATAATCATATATATAACAATACTTGTAACATCAATCAGTGCAAAATTTGCCTTGGGCACTCATTAGCCTTTTCTTTGGCATAAAATCCCTCTTAGCTCTCTGGCCGCTAGAAGTTCCTTGGTTAAATTAGAAAAATGAAATTATAGTTCTGAATCTATAGAAGTCAATTCGATATTTTTACTCATACCAAACTTGAGAATATAAAATTCATATTACCGAATAAAAACTTCATATATAATTTCGCCCAAGGCATTTTACTGAAATCATTTGAGCAACTACAGATCAAGTAAATATTTATGATTTCCAGGTTTCGTTGATTATATTGTTCCACATTTAGACCATTTTGTCAGTAAAAATCACATCCAGTGTACAGTATCAAGTGCCGAAGGTCGAAACATCACATGATCTTTCTGTTTACAATCATAGCAAACAGTCTTTGAATCCTTTCTCTATTTCCTGTGCATCCAAGTTCTTCCCTATGAACACTATCTTGTTTATTCTAGGTTCATCTGGGCCCCATAGCCGATCTGGTGAGCCTTGGAATATGTCATGAACACCCTGTAAAGAACATACCAGAATAAATGTAAACATGGAACCTGAATGTATAATACAAGTCATGACACATTGATTCATCCACCAGCTAAATAAAATAATATAGGAAACGCTTTAACTAAACTCAACGAATCAGGAACTTTAGCTACTATTTTTAGCTAGAGGAAACAACAAAAGAATCAACTATTTCACTGTCAAATTTTTTAGCTTACCTGAAATACAAATCTCTCATCCATGCCCTGAACAGATAAAAGACCTTTCATCCGGTATATGTCCTCGCTACGTTCCAGCAACAGCGTACCAAGCCACATGTTAGCCTGAAAACATAGGGTGACAGCCATCATTCCAACATTTGTCAGATTTAGGAACCAAAATTAAAAGACTAGTTCTGACAAGTAACCAGGAAGGGAAAAAAATTGCTCAAAAATCTAAAACTAACCTTCTCTAAATCTAACATTCCTTCACAAACTATGCTGACAGAAGAAACACCAGGATCATGAGTGTGATCATGGGAATGGTGATCATGATGTTCTGCAGGAGAGCACCCACAAGCATTATCACTAGTTCAGAAAATTATCACAAGAAGAAAAGTGGCAGAGCATGCATGTGTACCCATACGGTCCAAAAGTGGCAGAAAATCAGAAGCATGCAACATTAATATGGTCCAAGTTATGAAATTGCAGGTGTATCCAAATAACAATTCTTAGAGTGTGCATATTGGTATATCTCGATCTGTTGAAGCTGTTATAAACCATCTAGACCAAGAATGTTAGTGACTCATGTCTGTGGGCTCAAGCCAAAAAGCACACTGCAAGTTTGGCCAGTAGAACTTTGGCAGCACAATGATAAAAATATGAAGGGAGGAAAGATTGCTAGCGTAGTTTTGAAGAAAAATCACTTTAATTGCTACAATTACAATTGTATTCAACAGAAAAACAAATATCATGGATGTTATATTACTTGATCTAACCAGACGCATTCTCCAGTCATTAAAAAACAATATTGGTGCATTCATGGTTTTAATTATCAAAAATTAAGTGAATGAACTGCTATACACAGTGATTATGCATTTAGAGAATTACCGTGATGGTGATCATGCTCATCATGGTGATGGTGGTGGTGGTTATGGTCATTGTCATGGTCATGGTCATGACCGTGGTCATGATCTTCCTTCCCACTGTCTGCATCAACAGCACTCTCAATCCTGAGAAGACAACTGTAAATATTAGCCAACAACTTCATTACAATGAAGAAACAAGGAATAGACAGTGAAGAACCTCTCCAAATCAAAGCCCCCAATGCCAAGGACATAATCCAGGTCAACTTTTCCGAACTCTGTCCGCTTCAAATGAGCCATGCTGTTGATGTTCTGTGTTAATACACATCAACTTCAATTGAGTGCTCAGTAAAAATAGCAATAAAGAAATGAAGGCGGATTAGTGATAATGAGAACAGCACCCACCCTTATCCGCTGCACCAAGGAAGCAATTTCTTTCTCACCGACAAGATCAGTCTGGTACCAAAAATACATAACTAAATCAGTCAGCAATGGAACAATATGTAAAATGACTGAACTAGAATTTGAACTTCGGTTCTAAGACTTGTCCAATAGCAATGATCATAAGTGACAACTGACAATTACATTTCATTTCTATAGCATTGGCTAAGTTTTATACAGGGATAATAAAAGGTAGAGAAATAGAAGCAAGTGTTCAACAACTGAATTAAAATTTCAACCTAGGTTCTAAGATTTCCTATAGACAAAAAACCGATAGGAATGGTCATAGGCCACATATTTCATTTCTATAGCATTGTCTGAGTTTCATTCTTAGGGGGTAGAAAAGTTAAATTTTATATCACGTGTTCCAAATGTGGATAGGGTTAACATGGGAGACTGCCACCCCCAGATAATCTAGAATCAACAAGCACTCAAAAAACAAAAATTTATAGGTAGGTTCACGCTATTCATAAGACCTGATGATATGTTCCGAGTGAAGTCTACTATAGGCATATATTGCGTCAGTTGTGTTGACATAAGTCTAAGTCTAATTCAAACTAATGAGTTTAAAATGGTAGTTACTTTATTTACTATGACCCTGTCAGCATAAGCAATTTGCTCCACAGCCTCATTGACTACTCCCTTTGGTTTAACATCATCCAGATGAAAAGGAGCATGTTTAGCATCAACCAAAGTTACAACACCATCCAACTTGACATCATTAAAAATGCTATCTTCAGCATAAAAAGTCTGAATTATTGGTGCTGGATTTGCAAGCCCTGCAAAGTTCCACATGGAATTTGATTAAATAAAATAATCATCACTAACAAACCCACATATGCAGGGAACATAAGTGTATACCACATGTCAAGTTATAATCATATAATTACTTCGACAATACATTTTGAGAAATATTTTACCTATATTCTAATAGCTTACCTGTAGTCTCTATTACAATATGGTCAAAGTTCCCTTTCTTCTTAGCAACCAATTCTGATATCATTCTCACGAGATCTCCCCTCACTGTACAGCATAAACAACCATTGTTCAACATAATTATGTCCTCAGCTCCAGTAGTTTTTGCAGCAACCAAAGAGCCGTCAATGTCGATTTCACCATACTGCAATTCCACATTAGGAAAGAAAATTATTCGTCTAAGCATGATAAACTTAAATGTACCTTCACAAGCTAAGTAGCAGACTGTTGCTGGCTTCCAAATCCAAGTTGTAGTGCCTAATGAGCTTGAAAACCATATAGGAAAGATCTTATTTTTACTTATAAACAAACTGCCAAAAAAGCAACTTCATACCTCATTTTCAATGACTGCTATGCGCTTCCCATGGTCAGCTGTCAAGATATGGTTAAGCAATGTTGTCTGTCCATCACAGCAAAAGAAGCGCATCAACCTAACACTCAACACCTATCAAATGCTAAAAATGGAACTTCTATAATAAGTTAATAAGATTGAGTAAGACAACTTTGCAAAGTCGAGGCCTTTTCACCCACATATAAAAGTATCAAATCCAGTAATTTTACATTGTATAAGAATGAGTACTAGAATTTAAGTGTAGGGAGAATATACCTTCCCAGACCCTAAAAACCCAGTAATAATGGTAGCTGGAATCCGATTATCAGGCGGAATCTTAGTGGTCAAATCAGAATCCTCACTCTGAGGAGCCGCGGTGGTGGAGGAAGCGGCGGAGACGGTGAACCTGCGGCAAGAATTGAAAGTGGGTTTAGAGAAACCGACGGCGACGATTCTGGAGTGAAACGAGCGTGTAGTAAGAGATAAGGTCTGATGGGGTTTAAGAAAGGGAGGAAGGACAGCGGTGCGGATTCTGGCAAGTGGAGTTCGGTGGCGAGAAGCGAAGGAGATGCAGGTCGTGGCTATGTCCAAAGATAGAGAAGCCATAATTAAGTCGTGAAGGTATATTGAATTTAGCTGGGTAGACTGTGCTATTAATTGAGAGAGAGAGGATGGGGTTTTTGGAGGGTTTAGATTTTATTTTTGAGGACAGAGATTATGGCTCTGTTTCTGGATGCTTCGATTCAGCGAATCAAATGAAAAATCTTCGGGAAGAATGAGACATGATTTTCTTATTTTCTGTCTCCGTATACCATTTTGGGCCTAACATGTTTTTTTTTTTAAACATGTCTAGATTTTTTCACATGTTTTAGAAAAAAAAAAGTATAAATTTTTTTTAACTACCGAGAACATGTATTTACCAGTTGTAACTCAATTGATAACATAAATTAGACATATAAAAATCGCTTTTAATTTCAATTTTCACTAAATAGATTTGTAAAGAGGAGCGAAAAACATTAATCCGAACTAGACTAGACGATCTTTAATAATAAGATTCGAAGCCGGATTAGATAATTCGTAATAATAGAATTTAGATGGTTTGCGAAAAATAAAATATGAAGGAAAAATTAATATTATATTCTCCTATATATTGAAACTAACAGGTCTTTCGTTCATACCTTCGTATTCCTATATATTTTCATTTTACATTATAATATACCATCCAAATTTCTTTCCCCCAAAATTTGAAGCAAGAAGGAAACAAAAAACTTCATCGTTTTGACCCTCGGATTCATATTATTTTCTTCAACCATAAGTTCATATTATTTTCTTCAACAATAAGTAATAAACAAAATTCAATTTCAACGTTTTTTTCTTTTTTGTGCATTTTCAAGTGTGAGTTGCTTTTATACATATGAATGTCCAAATTGTTAGAACTCCAAAATCATTTTCACTACTATCAAACATTTCATAATCACCGTTTATAAATTATTGAGCAGATAGAAAATTGGAGGCAAACCTCATCTCCGCCTTAATTAAACTCTATTGCCCACCTCATCTCCGCCTTAATTAAACTCTATTGCCCAAGCTTGTTTTGTCAATATCTAGGATTGGCGCCATTTTTTTCGACTTTCGCCGTCAATGTTTCGGCAACGCGTCCAAATCTTTCCTCAACAACAACGCGTCCAAATCCTATATCCAAAACTCTAAGCACATCTTTGAACTTACCGTTTCGATAATGGAACTTGGCTACATAGGAGCACACCATTAAAAATATGTCGCGCCAGGTGAGAAGAATGAAGTGCCAAGGACTGGAATGAAGCTACTCTCAAGCCATCTCACATGCACAGCCTTAGCCACTCGGATGTATGAGGTGCTTAAAAAAATCAACAGTTTAGAAAAATTGATCAATAATTTTTTTTTTATCAAAAGAAAACTAAGAAATTTTTTTAAAAAATAATTTCATATTTTTGAGAGAATAAAACATTTTATGGACATTAACAAAATTATTCTGACATTGTTGTTCAGTGTAAAATATTGAGAAATTGCCAATTTCATTTTCTTAGTTATTTTTTCACTCTCGTTTTTTTAGATATATTGAGGAAAATAAATAAATTTATTTTTCTTTATTAAGAAAGATCAAAATTTTAGAGACTAAAATTATCATTGAAAATTAAAAAGGTACACCCTTATTTATTTATAAACAATAAAATGTAATTTAATCATGTTGAAATATTTACATAATTTAATAAAAATAAGTGAAAATGTTTTCTCCATTATTTATATTTAAATTCTCAATTTTGATAAAACATGTAGAGTCTGAATAGAAAATAAATGATATATTATTTTTTCTAAATTTTTTTCCTCTTTTCTAAATAGGAAAACAAAATTATACATATTTTTTAATATGGCTATTTTACTTCTTTTAAAAAAAAATAAAAAAAATTCTCCAAACCAAGCAAAAGCTTAAAGTGATACTTTTCCAGGTTAACCTAGACTGCAGGCAGGCTCGTACTGACATTTGTTAGATTAAGAAGCTTGATTGATAATCATACTATTATTATATGATATCCTTACGCGCCCACCTCTTTAATCATTTAATTACTCGTAATTTCAAAAAAGAAAAATTTAATTACTTGTAATAATCACTAATCTGAACATTCAACAAAGAGAACCTTTGCGTGTACAATCCTCAAAAGAAAACCACCACCAATGGGCCCCATTCTCCCGCTAATGGATAAAGCAAAGTGGGTTAGTAAGAAAAATAAAAATCTATACCCAAGTGGGACCCCTCTTGGCCTACCTTTCTCCTCCTTTATCTCTTCTTCTAATTCATTGTTTCCTTTCAGTGCGCCTAACGCCGAACCTACCTTTCCTTCGTCACTGACTTTAATCCACGTGTCATTCATCGAGCTCTATATTTTCTGGTTCGGTCACAGCCTCGGTTCCCTTTTGGCATTTTCTATTCTTTTAGTCCGGCCTACACAATTCTGTTTTCTCCACAGTCTCTCTCTCTCTCTGTTTCTATCTTTCTCTGCGTTAATGGGTATGGGAATGTCTTTGTGATAAGAGAGATTGATACAAATCGATTCGGATAATCGATCATGATAAGGTATTAAGGGAGAATCTTGTTTTGTTTTACGTTTTGTTTCGAGTCTGTTGTTTGTTTCCTCGGAAAATGATTTCCATGAAAATGATTTGTGGATATCTTTATGGGAAATAAAATTTCACTTTCTGAGCGTTTAGCATCTAATTCTTTACAGCGATATCTGTGTACATATGGATATAGTCAGACGCTCGCGTATATTAGTTATGTGGTTAGTTTTTTTTTTTTTTTTTTTTTTGATATAAGTTCAGACGCTCGGCGTATGATTCAGGTTATTGTGGTTAGTTTTTTTTTTTTTTTTTTTTTTTTTTTGAAGTTATCTTTTTAGCACTTTTTATATGATCAGTTATCTCTGTTTTGCTTGTTGTGAAAACTCAGAATTGTTGTTCTTTGTTTCAGTTATTTCAGCTTAACGTTTTCATTTCCCTTTTTCCCTTTTAGTTTCCTTTTTTGCCTTTGCTTATTTTGCCAGTCATTGATATTTTCTGGGTTTAGTTGCTGAAAAAATTTTATTTCAAATTTAAGAATTGGAATTTATTATTTTCTCGAGGATATGAAATGGTTGAAAGTTGAACTGCACCGCGATTATGAAAATAGGTGAGGTGTTTTTTTTTTTTTTTTTTTTTTTTTTTTTTTTTTTTTTTTTTTTTTTTTTTTTTTTTTTTTTTTTTTTTTTTTTTTTTTTCTGGTTTTGGAATTCAAAATTTGAAGTATTGATTCTTGCTTATAAAACGGTAATTTTATCGGATCAAACTGGATTTATGTTCATAACTGGTCCAAAGGTTTCCTTGTATAATTGTAATTCGCTTTTCTTAATTTTTAAGATCTTGTTGTGGTTTAACTGTATTTCCAATGCAATTACTTGCCATTATAATATGCGAAGTTGTAAATCTTAACCTACTTAATTAATGAGCTAAAGTGTGTTAAAATGTAGACTAAAAGGTTATTATTAATGATCACGTCAACTCTCTTTTAGAAATGCATTGATTTATTGGTAAGGAAGTTAGGCTAGTTGATTGTTGATGTTTTTCCTTAATTTGATGAAAAAAGACAATACTTTTAATGGTTTTGGACATTTACCACCATGTTGATTTTGAATTGATTGAGTGCCCGCAATGTAGCCTTGTTGGTTGTGCAGCATTTGGCAGGCACTGGTGGTTTGAATAGGTAATTTTAGCATGTACTGTAGATTGTACCTTTATTTTCCATTAAGTTTCATTATATATTATACACTGGAAAACCAGCATCAGTTTTGTTATGTTTGCACTTTTGGCTACAAAGCGAAATGAATGCCGTGTGTCAGAAAACAGAGTTTTAAGTTTGCTACTACCAATGAGTAGAATTATGTGTTGATTTTATTATTTTTTTCAGGAGAAGAAAAGTTATAATTTTTTTCTTTATCTTTTTTTTTTTTTTTTTTTTTTTTTTTTTTTTTTTTTTTTTTTTTTTTTTTTTTTTTTTTTTTTTTTTTTTTTTTTTTTTTTTTGAATGGCATAGTATCATATAATCTGGGTCTTAATCTTAATGGTATGTCTAAAATAAGAAGGTATTCTAGCGCTGACATTGCTGGCATTTTTTAGCCGCTGGCTTTTCTTTGGTGGCTTGCACTTTGTCAGTGCTCACATATTTGATTTTCTATTGCTCATCCTTTAATTCTTCAAAAAGCAAGGAATTTTTTTTTTTTTTTTTTTTTTTTTTTTTTTTTTTTGATCATAGTATCATATAATCTGGGTATATCTTAATGGTATGTCTTAAAATAAGAGGTATCTAGCCTGACATGCTGCATTTTTTAGCCGCTGGCTTTCTTTGGTGCTTGCATTTGTCAGGCTCACATATTTGATTTTCTATTGCTCATTTAATTCTTCAAAACAAGGAACTTTAAGAATGCCCTCTTCAAAAGTAATTTTAAACAATTCCACTTCAAAGAACGGCCCCCCTATAACAAGAAATTATTGAATATTATTTTTAGGAGAGTATTATGTTGACAATAATGTGGCTTTATACTTATTCTGCTATAATGTTTCTCATTTGTACAGGGTGAAGTAGAGTGCATGTTTCTATTTTTGTTAATTGAATGGATTAGGGTAGTATTCTGCTGCAGTTTTTATGACCTAATTGATTGCAAGATATTTCCTCAATGGGGGGAGCTTGTTCTAGGAAGAGAGATCAACTGGATAATGAAGATAGTTTACCCAGCAGGATTTCTAGACAATATAGCAAAAGTTTGAGCTCAAAGTGGTTGGCAACTTCATTTTCCAGACCTGCATGTGAACTGCAATGGGGGAATCAGAGATGTCCATCACTCATGGAATTGTGCATCCAAAAAATATGTAAAGTATGTTCTGTTCTATGACGTATCGGAATCCCTATTAATTTTTTTTTCCAGACTGGACTGATTACTTAAGCTTTTTCCTTGATCAGGATATAGAGAAATATAACACGTTTTCTATGCTTCCAAGAGACATTAGTCAGCAGATCTTCAATGAACTGGTGTATTCTCAATGTTTGACTGAGGTTTCTCTTGAAGCTTTTCGAGATTGTGCTCTCCAGGTAATTTCTAGTTAGAAATGCCAAATCCTTTAAAGATTTTTGCACTGTTTGCTTGTTGATTTTACTTGTGGATGATCTGCTTGTGGGTCTAATAGGATCTTCACTTGGGAGAATGTCCTGCCGTTAATGATAATTGGATGGATGTTATCTCTTCACAAGGGATATCTTTACTCTCTGTGGATCTTTCTGGATCAGATGTCACTGATTCCGGTCTGATTTATTTAAAAGACTGCACAAACGTTCAAGCCTTAAATTTTAATTATTGTGAACAGATTTCAGACCTTGGACTTCGTCACATCAGCAGTAAGCTTTTCTTTCCCCCTAAAGTCATTTGGTTCTTAGTCATAGTTCATAGTTAATAATCACTACAGTCATATATTTCTGAACTCAAGGAGTGTAGGGCAGAAGTCAGAGCAATTAAACTCTAGTGATTGTGACATATGATGCTACAATTCTGGATCTTTGAAATTTAGAAGAACGGGAAATCAATTATCTTGCTCTACATGCAGGATTAGTTGCAGTTCCTGTAGCTGACTGACCTCTATAGTCTACAGTCAGAACTCAAATTTTCTTTCTTGTTTTACCATATCTGGATATATTATATTTCTGTGTGGACATTCTATTTGGACAATTTAAATCAATTTAAGAGGTACTTCATACCTACTTGAACTAACAACTTCTGCAGTCTTGACGTGCAAGGTGCAAATATCCTTTTCAAGAAGTGGGGAAGTTGGAGTCAGGAGATCTTTCTTTCCTTGTCTTTATTTTAAATGAAAATTGAGCATTGCCTATATACCCATTTCTCTAAGGCACTGCCCATTTGATAGTTGCACCTTTATAGAGGAGATTGTTAGTTCAATTTCCTCTTCAACTGTGGCCTTGTTTCGGAATACTTCACTGTTGCTTTGACTCCTTTCCATTCAATTACCATCTCTGTTTCACTGCACTCACTCTTTATTTTGACTCCTTTCTCTTTTCTGGATCTTTTTTTTTCCTCTCATCTCAAGTTGTGGGAATGTGCTTACAACCACCATTAAGTTTGGATTTGTGATATTGTGTTTGTGCAAAAACTGCAGGCCTCTCAAACTTGACAACTTTGAGTTTTAGAAGAAACAATTTTATTACAGCGCAAGGAATGAGTGCCTTTGCCAGCTTAGTTAACTTGGTTAAACTGGACTTGGAGAGATGTCCTGGCATTGGTGGTGGACTTGCTCATCTTAAAGGTATTTTCCATCTTTAAAGGGTTTCTGACTTGATTAGGTAACTGTATAAATTTCTTGTGCTGGGATTTAAGGTTACATTTAAAAGTAATGTTTGTGTGCATTTGGATTGATGCATATCTGCTAATATATCTGTATGCATAGCTACTTGGTGTGTCTGTACTTGTGCTGAAGGATTATAATTTAAGAATTGATGGTAACCGAGAAGATTGAAATTAGAGCTTGAAAGTTGTGATGTTATGAGGAATGTGTTAACATTGTAATTACTTTATTGGCTTATCCATACTCCTCTGTCATTCAACAGGTTTGAGGAAGCTGGAATCTCTTAACGTTAAATGGTGTAACTGCATAACAGATGCTGATATGAAGGATCTCTCAGGTAATATGCCTCAAACACATGTCATCTCCCATCCCTTCTTACCCCCCCCAAAAAAAAAAAAAAAAAAAAACGAAAAAAAAGGAAAAAGAAAAGAAATACAGAGATATATTGTCGCTGCATTATGAATCTCGCACTTTGAGGACCTGCCTCTCTATCTATAACACACAAATTCCTATCTCTCTTACCACCTATAATGATGGAATTGAAAAATCCGTAGAATTATGAACACACCATTATGGATTCCAGCGCGATTCTTCTTTAAATCAGAATGCATGGAATCAAAAAATCCATAGAACTAACAAACCCTAGGTTTTTATTCTACAGATTTATACGATTCAGAGCGCCATCTTTGGCCCTGACCCAATTTGAAAAAGTTGCACACGATCTATAAACACAATTCGTATCGGATTGAGGAATTTTTTAAAATCAAAATGCCTGCGCAATCAAAAAAATCCATTAGACAATCTAAACCCTTCTAGGTTTTTTTGTTCCCCCCCAAAAAAAAAAAAAAAGAAAAAAAGAAAAAAAGAAAAAGAAAAGAAAATAAAAGAGATATATGTCGCTGCATTATGATCTGCATTGAGACTGCCTCTTATCTATAACACACAATTCCTTCTCTCTTACCACCTTATAATGTATGGAATTGAAAAATCCGTAGAATTATAACACACATGTATGGATTCAGGGATTTTTTTAAATCAGAATGCATGGAATCAAAAAATCCATAGAACTAAAACCCTAGGTTTTTATTCTACAGATTTATACGATTCAGAGGCCATCTTTGGCCTGACCCAATTGAAAAGTTCACAGATTATAACACACATGTATGGATTGAGGAATTTTTTAAAATCAAAATGCCTGGAATCAAAAAATCCATAGAATTAAAACCCTAGGTTTTTTGTTCTACGGATTTATACGATTCAGAGGCCATCTTTGACCTGATCCACGTTGTATGACAAATAAAATGGATAGAAATTTGAAAAGCACTTGTTAATTGGCTAGTTCTACCGATTGAGATAAATTCATGTGGAAATTGTGAATCTGTTAAGTTGAACTTTGATCTAATAAGTTCTCCAGTCTTGCCTGCTGCACAAATTGCTCATATAAGTGTGTTCCAGGGTTGATAAACTTGAAAGGATTACAAATTTCCTGCAGTAAGGCGACAGATGTGGGCATTTCTTATTTGAAAGGTATTTGTTTTTCTGTTACGTCTATATTGCTATTTAAAGTTGTAAAATTATCTCATACTCTTGGAAACATGGAACAGTCATTATTTTCTTTAGTGACTAATGAGTTGACAGTTATTTAATTTACATAAACAGATCAGTTCAACCTTTTCTTTTGTGCATGGCAGTTGAATGAGCACTAGCTGGGAAATAGGTATATGTAGTATGGGGACAACACACATGTTGGTAGTCTGATACTTCTTTAGATAGTTAGATGCCCCCATTAAGTACTGATACTCTCCCATTTTATGAGCGCTTTATCCAACAATATAAACCTTGAGCTGTTCAACTCAACAGCACATAATTTTCCATTATGTTTTGAAGTTGATTGTTACTCCCAAATAAGAGGAAAAGGTTAATTACAATTTATGTGCTTCAGGTTTGCATAAGCTTAATCTGTTAAATTTGGAGGGGTGCCCAGTCACTGCTGCATGCTTGGACTCTCTCTCAGGTTTGCATTCCATTTGACTGCTTGACATATATGTTAGTCATGACACTTGTTATCAATATCATGGCTTGCTTCCATTCACTTGCTTTAGCAATTTATGAGTATAATTCTGTTGATTTTGTGGTGTTCCATAAACCTGAATTCTGCATTTGGCCTGAAATTGACTACTGATACTTGAATGGTTTCATGTCCATATGAGTGAATGTGGGGCGGACATTGTTCAGACCTCTGTCAATTTTCTGTCTGTTTCTGTTTGATTTTGTGCTGAAGGTTGGGTTTAACATGATTTCTATTTGCCCCCGTTTTTGTGCAGATCTTGCCTCTCTGATGTACTTGAATCTTAACAGATGTCAGCTATCTGATGATGGATGTGAGGGTTTCTCCAGTAAGTACTACTTTATGATTCAAACATATCCTGGACATTATGATCCTATGCTTATAGCATGCCATGTCTTCAACAGAGCTCAGGAAACTAAAGGTGCTTAACTTGGGCTTCAATGACATCACGGATGCATGTTTGGTTCACCTGAAAGGTTGTTTCTTTTTCTCTTATTTTATTCGTTCCAAGACTGTAGATCATAAATTATTTCATGGTTCCATACTGTTTAATTGTGGATAAGCTTATGTTAATTAATAATAAGATTGGTTGACAGCCCTAAAATGATGAGAAAGTTTGTAAACTAAAACAGAAATAAGTAATAACAGACTGCTCCTGCCATAAAGCATGTCGCACTAATATTTGAAGGTAATAAGGGACTGCTAATTTTTCCCCTTGAATTTCTTGTCCCTTAATACATGCTAGTCAAGCATAATCACTGGAAGCTTTGCAACTTGTTTCAGTATTTGGTTGTTGGAAAAACGTGTGAATTTCTTTCCAGTGTTTAGTAGTTGCCAAAGTATCAGCAGAAAGCCTTGTTAGCTGTTCCAAGTGTACTAAATATTTTGAATTTATCTAAAAGTCTGAACATGAATTGGTATTATGCATTACGGTGTTTATAAAATTGGAAAAATTTAAGTTAGATTATTATCTTTTTCTTTTTTTTTAAAATTGTTTCCTTTTACATTGTTTTGAGTAGGTTTAACAAACTTAGAGAGCTTGAACTTAGATTCTTGCAGAATTCATGATGAGGGGTTGGCTAATATGACAGGTAACTGATTCTATTGCTTCACCTTTTTCTGTCTGATGTGTTCGTGTTAATTTTATTTTTGTTTTAATTTCTTTTAGTCAAAAGGTTATGCAAATGTGCTTCTATGTGACTCAGTAAATATTATAATGTTGCACGCCCAATATTGTGCATCAATGTAATGCAAATGTCATAAATATTTCATAATTTTTTTTCTTTATAAATATATATGTTGCCTCAAGTTCTCCAAAAATTTCATTTGCCATCCATATATTATTATGTTTTAAATATAAATAACTTACTATATAGTAGTGGCACCCAAAGATCTAGAATTTTTTTATATATAGTACCTCTCAACTTTATTATTATTTGTTGTTCATTTCTATTCTAAGTCTCTCCAAATCTTGAAGTCCAATAAAGCCCCGATGAACTGTCTTGCTCAATTTTAACGTGCATATTCCTGCATTGACTTCATGACTTGAAGTGCACACATTTTCATGCTTTCAATCTCTCCTTTTCTTTTTATTAACAGCGATAATTTTGCAAATATTTTTTTTGGTATTTTAGGCATTCAACGTTTGAAATGTTTAGTGTTGTCGGATACTGAAGTTGGAAGCAATGGGCTGCGCCACCTATCTGGTTAGAAATTTATCTCCTTGTAGATTAATATGTTAAATCAGTTCCGATAGATATTCCTCTTTTTCTAGTTGGTTGTAGTGTACATTCTTTTACTTGTATTTTATTATGATTGTTTTACTTCCTTCTGTTGCTATCTATTATTCAAAGCTTCTAGCTGATGGTAGAAAGTTCCCTCCTCTAGTTGTGAACGTTGCAATCTTTAGAGTTACTGGTTTCATTTAACAATATTTACTTTTGGATGGTGAACGTAAGCCTTTGTGAGTTTTCTCAAGTGACACATTGTTGCTTGATTTTTCTTTATTAATTTTGAAAGAGATAGACAGAAGACTATACAATTCTGTAAGAGTCCATTTGATAGATGAGAAATTGAATTGAATAGAGTATTTAAATTTGACATTATGTTGGTATGGTACAATTTTTACTTGAAACACATTTAAATCCACCTTTCTTTACCTTTTGAAATGGATCCTGATGGAATTTGAAACACGATATTAAATTTGACGTTTAGATATAACGGAAAATAAAGCATCTTTCAGTAGATGAGACTAGGAACAGAGAGGAAGACCCTAGATGACCAGGGAAGAAAGTGTTTGTGGAAGATCTAGATATGCTAGGTCTTCATAAATAATTAAAAAAAAATCGAGAGGAATGAAAGAAATGGATTGGGTTTGGGATTAAGGCGTAATAGTTGTATTGAGGTAGACAGATTTGAATATGGTTGTGGTGCATGACAACTTAGTTTTGGGGAATTTTTACTACACGAATTGCCGTAAGGGGATTCCTCTAGAAATGTTGAATGTGAAAGATAATCAAGTAGTTCCTACCAAAATTTTCCCCCTTAATTCCCGATATGAACTTGTGGTTTATATCCATTGCATAATCGAGTCATTTTGTTTCTATGCATTACATGACATGATCTTTTTATTGGTTTTTTCTTATTAGGTTTGACCAATTTGGAGAGTATAAATTTATCATTCACTATGGTTACGGATGGTGGTATAAGAAAATTGTCTGGATTGTCATCTCTTAAGTCACTTAATCTAGATGCTCGCCAAATTACAGATAGTGGACTTGCAGCCCTGACGAGTAAGTCCGTTTGCAGAAGTTTTGTAGAGTAATGGCTAAATGAGTCTTAGTCTTGGTATCTATGTTTTTGTTTTTTTATATTTAAATGCTTCCAATACTTGTATTTATTAAGAGGGAGCCTATAAGCAGTGATCCAAATGGTATGTTATATGAAATTTGACATTGTGCTATCATGCTTCTATTAATTATTTTAGTTCTTGAATGTTTAGTACTAGATGCATGCAACTGACTTTGTATTTCTTTGTTTCTTTTTGCAGGTTTGACTAAATTGACACACTTGGACCTCTTTGGAGCTCGTATTACAGATTCTGGAACAAACTATTTGCGAAGTAGGCCTCATGATGTTGGATGTGTAATGAACATCAGATAATTTTTCCTCTTGTCATACTGTTTTTTCGGTTTTCATGTAGATTTCAAGAATCTGCAGTCCCTGGAAATATGTGGAGGAGGATTAACTGATGCTGGCATAAGGAACATCAAAGATCTTTCATCCTTGTCACTGCTAAATTTGTCACAGAACTGCAACCTAACAGATAAATCATTGGAAATGATTTCTGGTAATAGCCAATGCACTTTGCTCTAAATCAACTACTTCATTTGGTTATATTGTTTAGTGGATTAGCACCTCATAGCCCCTCTCTGATTAATATTCCTATTACTTCTCTTTGTGATGAATCAAACTGGATATGTGGCTGAAAAAGATGGTATGTGTATGGAAGTTTATATGTAATTAAAAATACTAAAAAATTTCCATCAAGTTATTGGAGTTACACTATTTTTACTGCCAGCCTGGAGTGCATTGACAAGTAACTAGCTGATCTATTAGATTGCTTAATTATCCTCTTTTTACTGAAATCATATTACATACACTAAAGGAGTAAAGGAACCCTAATTTCTATATTGTTTTATAGGCCTTCTGCAGACATTCATTTATTTTATTTATTATGTCTGTGGATATACTTGCAGGGTTGACAGGGTTGGTCTCATTGAACATGTCAAATTCTCGTATAACCAGTGCAGGGTTGCAGCATCTGAAGCCACTGAAAAATTTGAAGTCATTGACCTTGGAGTCATGCAAGGTGACGGCCAGTGACATTAAGAGACTTCAATCAAGTGAACTTCCTCAACTGGTGAGCTTCCGGCCCGAGTAGTTGAGGATGTAAATATGGAACATTCTGTAAATAGCTTCTGTTGGCATGGAAGGTCTCCGATATTCTAAATAATAACAAAGTTTACAAAATGATGAACTGTACATATGCATATGGGGAATGCTTCAAAAAGAATTTGCCCAGTATGTGAAGCTTTCTTTCATATTGTTCAGTATGAAAAGAAATTGTAGATAAGCTTCCGTGGCAAGTATTTTGAGCTATGGTAAATTAGGATTGCCAAAAAAAAAAAATCGTGTATATGCTTGTTAGACAGCTTGTTATGCACTTATTTTTCTTTTATATTTTCAGTTTCTCTGCATTAGCTATAAGCTCTTAAAACTAATTCCATGAATATGCACGTGCTTGTTTGTTTTCTTATTATTTTTAGCCATTGGAATCGTAATTGGAATAATGTTGCTATGTTTTTGCGAGCCGTGATGAAATATATTACATAATGTAACGCAATTAAAGATATTTATAATGTAAACACTATACTATAAATCCGAATATTGAGTGTGCCATACATTGTTCTGTGATTACAGTTCATCAAATATTAGCTCGTAGGTTGTTTTTTATTTTTTTTTATTTTTTTTTATTATGAAAAGGCAGCGTATGGGTTAATATAATTAAGGATAATTCACTGATTTAAGTGTTATTTTCCCTGTATGTGAATTAGTAATTATTAATGATCTTTCAACTTTTAAGAACTCTAGGAAAATAACAACATTAACTAACGTGTGGAAATTTCATTTAGAAGGTTCATGCATCTAGTTCTAGAATGTAAAACTTTAAACTTGAACAACTAAATTAGTGAAGTTATGTTCCATTTGTACTTTACAAGCTCCAATTTGATTTATTTGTTATGTTAAATAAGCTGAACAAGGACTTTGCACTTCAAGCATATAAGCCAAGCCTTCTTTATTCACAGCTGTGGCTACCTGTCTTTTGTGAGTTGGTTGGATTGGATGGCTATCATATCACGATTATAAGATGAGATTGAAATTAAAAAGACGAGGCATTTCAAGGTTTATTTGAGAGACTGCTTTATATGGGAAATTAACAAGACATGACATATTTTAGTTCTGTTTAAGATTGCGTTATTATCTTTTGCGAAACAAACAAATCCTTAAACCATTTAGTTCAAAAAGCAACAGCAAAAATAACGGATAGAGCCAATGATAACTAATTTACGAGTATAAGCCACTACCCACTTGGATTATCACCAAACCATTTAGTTCAATGCAATAGAATTGTCTCCCCCAAAAGCCATTTTGAGGAGATCTGCAAATTAACAACCTACCAGTGGGACTATGGTTACTTGCAATCACTTCAAAGAAATTAGGTTTTAGTTTGCATTATTTCGATCTAATATGTACTTTTATATATATATTTATCGGAGAATCTAATATATAACACAACTCGACTACATAAGCTTATATTTCATCTTCAAAATAACTACATTATTTACTTTTATGTAATTTTCATTTCTAATTAAATGATACACGGGATGAATCGAAGAGATGAGATATTCCAAAATCAATTCAATTCTACGAAGATATTTAGAGAATTATTTCTCACAAACTTCTATAGATACAGAAATGAAGATGCTGATGCTGATGCTGTTGAGATGTCTAAGGATCGCATGTCATTCTTCACCCTGTTCTTTTGCAGCTATTTTCTATCCATTTTGATTTTTTCGTTCCATTTAGCCGAAAATAAAACGTATTTTTTATGCATGAATAAGTTGGTATGCAACTCCTCTTTAGCCATCCTGATAGACAGTTGCTTGTTCTCCTAGTTCTATTATTGGTATGCAATTATTTTTTTGTTTTTATTCTTGTCTAAATTTTGTAGTAGCAGACAAGTGATCAAATATCCAATAATGCAAAAAATCAACTTTCTTTTTTGTTAAAAAAAATATTCAATTGTAGAAAAAAAAAAAAAAAAAAAACTTTTGCTAGTAGCAGACAAGTATCAAGATATCCAATAATGCAAAAAATCAACTTTCTTTTGTTAAAAAAAATATTCAATTGTAGAAAAAAAAAAAAAAAAAAAAAAAAAATACAATATTAATAACTTCTTGAGATCATGAATTCAAGATGGTCATTTGATTTATACGGTCCTTAGACAAACATGGATTCCAATAGAATCAGAAATACACCATATTGGAAGCCACAAAACAAGGCATGAGTTGACATGAAATTGCAAGCTCTCCACTTAAAAAGCATAAACAGTTTTGGACCATTTTGATAAATGGGGGCAGTCATAAGCATCCTAATACAATACAAGGCTCTCACTAGAAGTAATATACTCCATGTGATGATGTTAAATTTGCAGAAAAGAAAACAAGGCTCTCACTAGAAGTAATATACTCCATGTGATGATGTTAAATTTGCAGAAAAGAAAAGAACCTGAATTATGTCATGTCTAAATTGCAAAAGAAAGGCAAGAGAGGAGGGTGTCAACAACAACAGAGGTTTTCTACATATAAACAAATAAAAAAAAAAAATGAAGCACCTATAATATTTGAAAATGCCAAGGGTTCAAAGACAGACTATTAAAACTTTCAGACTATTTAACAATTGAAATGAAAGAAAATTAACACATAACCAATAAAAAATAAAAAATCTTCGAGATATTTCTTTCTAAAATGGTGAAAAGCATTTCACTAATAATATTCCTACAACATTTACCTTACACAGTATCTGCCAAAACATGCTAAATCTACATCTTTTGCAAGTTGTTCCTTGAGTAAATTACATATCAGGAACCTCAAACTGCAAACAAAAATGAAATCAAGACAGCAGATGTGAGAAATGGGAGGACAAAAAGAAAGGCATATCATGTTAAATTTAAAGAGAAATTATAAAGCAAAAATTGAATGAAGTTAAACCAGACAAGAAGGCTAGCCTTTGTATAACGCTGGCCCATCCGTGACTTCTATAATTATACCTTAATATTAGGTTAATATATAATGTTTGATACTCCAGATGTGCGACTAGTTCTAAAAGCCAAAAAAAAAAAAAAAAAAAAAAAAAAAAAAAAAAAAAAAAAAAAAAAAAAAAAAAAAAAAAAAAAAAAAAAAAAAAAAAAAAAAAAAAAAAAACAAAAGAGTATAGAAGCCAATCATACCTAAATTACGAGAGGGCCACCAAGCCAAGCATGTAAAAGAACTTGTGCTCTGGCAGTCATTCAATCATCTCTGGACTTGTTCTGAACCTGAAGGCCCAACAGAAGGAGCAGTTGGCACACTGCTTGCTGACCCATTCTCAGCAGGTGGAGGCACACCCCATTTTCCTTCAGATTCAAGGGGTTCAAAGACATGAACCCCACCATCTGATAGTCCCAATGCAAACTGATTTGATTCTTGTGGATGTGCAGCAATCACAAGTGGGTGGACATTCGAACTGCTGTGTAGAAAACAAGTGTTATCATTGACATGGCACAAATAGGAGTCAAGTACCATTACTGCTAAATCAAAATAGCAACCATTATACAACTGCGATGCAGAAAATGGCGAATAACACTGCACCTCAAGGATCCTAGTAGCATCTCATGAAACATAAAGAAAGCAATTTTTAATATTGTGCTCCCTCAAACTCTAAGTCTATATAAACACTATGTCACCAAAAACTATAAATAACAGATATAGTGTTTGACCATGGTCAAAACGCTACATTTAAAGCTGTTGCTGAATAGGGCCTATGACTGATGAGAGATATTGCTATGGTTAAGCACATCTTGATACTCATTCCTGGTTGTTCAGCATTGTCAATGATCAAATTTATGTTTCCTTTATTTATTTATTTTTTTTTTTTTGTAAATATTTCCTTAAAAGTCAGGATACCAAAATTTGGGAAAAAGTTTAATGATAGTTTCAGGATACAACACTACTTGGTCTACACTTTATGCCAATTGCTTTCTCTAGAAAAACATAATAAAGAGATATTCCACCTTGTAAAGTTATTTGAGGGTAAGAATGTGGCAAATCAAATTTCATAAAGGGAGTGGACCAAGGAACTCTGATTTGCAAAATGATGGTCAGTTAATTTATTTTGTGCTAGTGAGCATGATCAGGAACCAAAAAACCATTAGAAAATAACCACTTTTGCTTCTTTCAAGCACGAAAACAAGAATCAATTGGATTAATATTGGTTGTTGCAAATACAGAATTATTTCACACAAAATGTGTACCAACCAAAACTAATATGGAATTGAATCTAAATAGACCTATGTCCATCAAGGGTGGAAGAGCATTACCTGACATTTGCAGGAAGAAAAGAGGAAGGATTGATACGACAACGTAGTCTCAGATTTTGAGCACTAAACACACAAACTGTTGCGTCTAAGAAGCAAGCATATACCAGCTGACTATCGCATGAAAATGTCGCATGAGAGATTGGAGCAGAGGACTCACGAGTGACCCACTATAAGAATTTAAAAATAAATAAATAAATGAATTAAGAACAAAGGGCATCAAGTTGCTTCAAAAGTAAGGAGAAGAGAAAAAGAAAAAGCTACCTGTTTTACACACTCTAGTTTTGTTGCTTCATATATTGCAAGCTGAGTTTCGTGTACAACCAGGAATTGTATCTGGTCCTGATGAAACTGTACTCGCGTGTCTGATTGTCCTGTTGTTGTCCTTCCAGCTGGAACCTGCAAAAATCTTGTCTTCTGCTTTTCCCATCCATCAGAGTTCCATACGCAAAGCTGGAGAACAAAAGATGAGGATGAAAACTTTGATTCAAACTTCAAAGTGAGAGACCCAAAAGAAAGGAGCGTCTGGATTTAGGAATTCTAATTTTTCATATTCAGCAAAGTGTGGAAAATCCAGAAAGTTGAGAACAGGAATTAGCTGTTCATGCCATATAAGAAACAAAAGCATAGACTCTTCATCTTTCTATCATTTCAAGAAACCTAACGAATTTCTAATGTCAAAAGCAAATAAAAATCAGCATACAAGCATGTTTACTCAAAGAAATAAATTCAGTAATCTAAATATTAATAATCCTCCCACAGTGATCAAAAACTGACCTAAGTGACTACACTGCAAGACATCTGATGGGAAAATTGTTACCTGAGCATCTGCTCCTGATGAAACTAGCACATTCAGCACATGGGAGAAGGCAAGGCCAGTTATTCTTTTAGAATGACCTTTGAGTTTGCTCTTGACCTGAACCAATAACAACAATATAAGTAACAAGCAACATTTCTAAACAGGAAAAATGAAAAAAACTGTTCAAAACTAACTTATACCTCGTCTACACGGACATTATAGATCTGAATTGTATTATCATCCATACCAATAGCAATAATGTTATTATCTTGAGGATGGAAAGCAAGAAACGTTGCTGCAGGTGGCGGCGGCATGAAAGTCG